CTTCACAGACTATCAATACACTCTGAGGGTGTTCGTTAAGGAAGCAACAACCGTGTATCCACCAGTACTTTCACAGATTATCAATACACTCTGAGGGTGTTCGTTAAGGAAGCAACAACCGTGTATCCACCAGTACTTTCACAGATTATCAATACACTCTGAGGGTGTTCGTTAAGGAAGCAACAACTGTATACAGGATAATGTTCCCATGTTTCTTTAATGTTGACATCCCTAATGACCTTATTAGACGCTAATTGCAAACCCTGCTTTGTGGAAGGTAATAACTCCCTCATCTAATTGATTAAGTACTTGTGTCTTTAAACCTAAAATCAAAATTTATAACAAGAAATGGAAATGTACTGCTCTGTTTTAGAGTGTTTTCTTCTTGAACAAAAGTTCTAAAACAAAGTAGCCCATGTACACTGTCCGACAGTTTTTCATAGGAAAAAAAATGACAGTAATCGAGCCCAGTCAATTCTGGGTGATGGATGCTAATACACATAGGTAATGTATCATCTTTATAGTAAGATGTACAAAAATATCTTTACTGTTCAAATAAGTTACAACGAAAAGTTTTGTTAGCTAAAATAAGAGGTATACGTAATGAGGAGGGAAACACGTTTTACTGTCAGATACATTTCTTTAACCAGCTAATACAACAGTTGTTCTCTATTGGAGGTATATGTAATGAGGAGGGAAACACGTTTTACTGTCAGATACATTTCTTTAACCAGCTAATACAACAGTTGTTCTCTATTGGAGGTATACGTAATGAGAAGGGAAACACGTTTTACTGTCAGATACATTTCTTTAACCAGCTAATACAACAGTTGTTCCCTATTGGAGACGCCTTTAAGAAAACGTTTAATTTTGAGTAAACAAGAGACTTGAAAAACTACTGGTAATGATCTAATGCACACGTGTTTTGACTAAATAACTTAATGTTCATGTGTGAAACTATACTAGCCACAACACTTTCTTGTCACGTTGCTTTCTTCACCCAGGGTGAGTCTGCTGCTGTCTGTCGGGTGACCTCCCAAAAGGTCACTTTCTGCTTGCATCTTCTCCACCAGATATCTGAATCGTAAGGTTGGATAATCAGTTACTGGAAGAAAACAGTTATACCAGATTCACAGTGCAAAATACATGTATATAACAAATACTTTGACGATGTGACTCTATAGGGCTAGTCAAAACACTGACTCCTGATATCATAGGAAGCTGTAGAAATGTCATCAGTATTACAACAGTGTGTTCAGATGTACCAGTAACGGTGAATGTCAAGGAAAACAGTGTATTCAGATGTACCAGTAACAGTGAATGTCATGGAAAACAGTATGTTCAGGTGTACCAGTAACGGTGAATGTCATGGAAAACAGTGTGTTCAGATGTACCAGTAACGGTTAATGTCATGGAAAACAATACGTTCAGATGTACCAGTAACAGTGAATGTCATGGAAAACAATACGTTCAGATGTACCAGTAACAGTGAATGTCAAGGAAAACAATACGTTCAGATGTACCAGTAACAGTGAATGTCAAGGAAAACAATACGTTCAGATGTACCAGTAACAGTGAATGTCAAGGAAAACAGTACATTCAGATGTACCAGTAATGGTGAATGTCAAGGAAAACAGTATGTTCAGATGTACCAGTAACAGTGAATGTCTTTGAAGGGTTAAATTCAGGGTTTCTGTACTTACTTCATAGATTCATCTACCATTGACCCATCTTTAGCTGATACTTCCGTCCAGCTTAGAAAACCGCTTTCTTGGTACAATGCCTCCAGCTCTTCGTGCGTGATCTGCTTGTCTGTGAGGTCACACTGAAACATCAGAAAGTCGTAGTTAGTCTTAGTGAACAGGTAGCAATATCCATTCATTTGATTCTGTACATTCATGTTACATTTCTTATATTTCTTGAATGGCATGACATTCTTCACTTAGTCATTTTAATCCAATTTAACCATCTCAGACAACACTAGTAGTTATGCATAGCTTGTGGCATTTATGTATCTAGTTACAGTGAAAGTCACAATTCCTATTTGATTAGATGAATAAATGTAGAAGTCTAAATGAACAATGTTGGGTGCTTGGATACACGTAGAAGTCCAAATGAACAATGTTGGGTGCTTGGGTACATGTAGAAGTCTAAATGAACAATGTTGGGTGCTTGGGTACATGTAGAAGTCTAAATGAACAATGTTGGGTGCTTGGGTATATGTAGAAGTCTAAATGAACAATGTTGGGTGCTTGGGTATATGTATGAGTCTAAATGAACAATGTTGGGTGCTTGGGTATATGTAGAAGTCTAAATGAACAATGTTGGGTGCTTGGGTACATGTAGAAGTCCAAATGAACAATGTTGGGTGCTTGGGTATATGCTTGATGTTTTGTCATAGCTAGTATAAGTAACTGATATGGTTAATTCTTTATATCGTAACTAATACAAATAACTGATATTGTTAACACTTTATGTTATAACTAATACAAATAACTGATATTGTTAACACTTTATGTTATAACTAATACAAATAACTGATATTGTTAACACTTTATTTAGAGTTTCCATACAATATTCATATTTACAGAAATAACACACCTTGTTAGCCAAAAGTAAACATGGTAAAGGACATCCATCAGCCAGTTCACACTTGGCATCAACGTCTTTCTTCCACTTGAGAGCATTGTCAAATGTCTTTCTGTTGGTCAAATCAAACATGACAACACAGCCATGAGCATCCTTGTAATAGACTCGTGTCATCCAGGTGAATCGTTCTTGACCTAGTGTGTTAACGGTCAATATAAGTGTTCAGTTTCACTATAGAAATCTTGTTTTAATATTTTACAGTAG